AAAATTTTTCGGTTTAGTTTCAGCCTCTCTTGTTATTCTCCATTCTGTCTGTACCTTTTGCGGTTTTTTTTTTTGGCAGTCTCTCACTCAATTCATTGCCATTCTTCATTTCAGTCAATCGCGATCATATTTTGAGTCACCAAAAATTGACTCTTCGTTGAAAAAAGAATGAATCACCCGTCAAACCTGGTGAATAGCCCACATGTAACTGAGACGATCACACGTTCACTTGATGTGAATGCGTTCTCTTAGTCAAAACGAAGATATGTGTGACTCCTTCGACTCCGTTGTGTTCAATTTCAACATTTTTTCTCTTCATTCTCTTTGGAATTCCTTAAAGCCATTTATTTTTTATGATGTTTAAATGGTTTCTTCCGAAGTATTTAAATATTGGTCTGTATGTGTGTGTTTTTGTCTTGTTGCAAACTGTATTTGGTTTCCGTTTTGTAGTGTTTTCATTTGGCTGTGTGTGTGTGTATGTGACCGGAGATAGAACTCGGAACGAAGGTTTTCAGTTGTAAAGAGATGATTCTGCTGTGTTATTGCAATTGGCCATGATTGTTATCATATTGAGTTATGGATGTGTACCAAAGCGCATTTTTGATGTCCGAAATGTTTTCAAAACAAAAATGCACTCAAAACAATGGGAGAAAGAATTGGTTGAACGCAGAGGATGAAAAGCTTGAATGGAATGGGGGCGAACCAGAGCGCATAGCATAAAAATTAATGGTTGTATGTTATTGTTAGAGATCCAGCCATTGGTTATGTCACAAGAAGATGAACAAAAAAAAAAACTGGAATTGTTCCAACGAAACACCTTGATGCATTTCCAGAAACTAATTCGAGAAAGGAACAACAATGAACCATGGAAAAAACCTTGTTCTCCAAATCTGCATGTGTTTCTTTTCGTTGCCTCTCTCTCTTTCTTGTTTTCAATCCTCTCTTTATTGACGCACAATATATAACTTCTTCGCATGATAGTTATTATTCCTTTTTGGTTTAAGTTATTTTTTTTCTTTTCTGTTTTCAAGTTGATTGGTTCGATGTTGGTGTTTCTAAATCGTTTCTCTCTGGTTGAATTTTTTGGAGAACACTGCAATGCGCAAACATAACCATTGGATTAGTTTTATATGCGTCCATTGCCAGAGAATGCAAAGGAGAGTGTAAGAGAGAGAGAGAGAAGAAGGCGAAGAGAAAAAAAAATGTTCAAATTTGTTTTCTCTTCATTATCTCATTCACATTCTGTCATACTCATTGCATTGCGCCTCCGAATCAGTCTAGTCCTCATTGAGAAATGAACGAACAGAGATAGAGAAAAAAAAGCGTATAAAACGACCCCATGTACCTGTGAGATGTTGTTGTTCAATATAATGGTTTCATGTGGATATAACAAGCGAGCGAACGGGATGGAATGTGTTTTGTGTTCTGTGTTTTTTCTCAATGAATAGGCAAAAAAAGAGGCCAAAGTGTATACGCATAAAAGAGCAGGTATAGAGCTTGTTTTCGATCCTCACACATTTATTTATGTGTTTTTATATATTCTTTTCTATTCTCTCTGTTCCATCTCTGTCCCTCTTTTTCTCTCCTTGCGTCGCACTCGCCATGAAAAAAAAAATATATATTGATGATTCGGTTGAAACCCAAGTTTTTTTTTTCTCACATGATTTTAATTGTATTGATTCATGGACACAAATGGGCGATATAAATAAGAAGAAATGGTTCGGGTTCTCATCGAATCCATTTGGAAAGCATTGAAATTGAAAGAAAAAAAATCTATAAATGTTAGACACAAAATCGAAACGTACTGGCCGTTAATTAATATGGGATGATTTTTTTTTTTGGGTGATATTATGTGTTATGTTCAACCAAAAATGAGCAGACGAGACAACCAAAATCAGTCAGGATACATGTGATTTGGTTTTCTTCTTCTTTTTTTTCGTTTAATTTGAAACAAACGTCGTTTTGTTTTATTTCAGCTTAATTTATGACACACACAAAAAACTCCATATTATGTGATGGCTGCTCTTGTCCTCACGGGCGACAAATGCCGCTACACCCAAATAAGAAAAGGCACACACATTGCTATGACCAACATTTAATCAAAATTTATAGAACTGTTTTTTTTTTCTTCTTCAATATTTTATTTGCTAACTAGCAGCGCAGAGATAGCGATATTTTTATTTATGGGCGCTGTTGTTGTTTTTGGTATCAAAAATGCAACAATTTGAACCGTATGTATCGACGAAGACAGAAAACAAAAACGAGTCAGGAATGAGGATCACTAAAACACACGGTGGTCGATGCAACGGATTTGTATTGTTCGTTCTCATTAATTTTTATGTTTCTCTTTCCGTGTTTTTGGTCTGTCTGCCTGCGCCAATCATCACCTAAACCGATTCAATATTTGCATCGGCCCAAAACGCTGCTTTTATACACACACACACACACACACACCAAATGATCGTTTCGTCGAGTTTGCACATTACAACAGCTCTTTCTTTGTATATATATTTTCGACTAATTTTTTGTGTTATCTTTCAATAAATATCTAAAAAGTGTTGTTTTTTTTTGCTCCTTCGCGCGGCGAGTGCCGTGCATATTTCGGTTTTGGGTCGATCTTTGTTTACATCTCGTTTGTTTGTTTTCTAATTCTCGCATTTGTATGCGTTACGTTCTTCAATTACATTGTGGCGATCCATTAAAATTGTTAAAATTTTTGAAAGAGAGAGGGAGAGAGCCCACTTTATTATTCTCTCAATAACAACAACCAAAGATGTGTTATATTTCTTGACCCTTTTCATACCCGTGATAAATGAATGGTATTTACACAAGTGTTCGGCTATCATTATCACGGAATTACCAAATGTAATCGCTTTTTTTTTCTACTTCTCTTGCTTCATTCTTCGTTGGAAAAAAATATGTATAATCGCGATTGATTTATGTTTGAATTAGGACTCACTTGGTTGAGCGAATGATATGTATGTGTGATGGAATGGACAGTTTGTTGATGATATTAGAGCCATGTGCGATTTCTTGCATTTAACGGCCCGGTTCATTTACCAACCGACGATTGAAAAGCATTTCAGCTAAAAAGATGTTGTCCTTGTTTCCAGTGTTGTCCAGTGTTCGATTCGAATCTTTGTGCTTGGATTTGTACTCAAAGCACAAGGTGTTTGAATCATTGTTGCAAGCGTCAATGCGATATAAGCAAAATCCGACACACAAAAATCATCATTATTTCTTCTAGCATTGAAATGTTCAATTCAATATGAACGAAAAACGTTATTGAAGCGAAGCGTAGGGGCTTTAAAATGTGAAATAAGATTTGTTCGACGCAAATGTGAAATGTGTGTTTTCATGCGGAATGGCTTTTTTTCTTCGAACTTTGTGTCCTTAAAACCCATGCAGAGTGTCAAAAACAGAACGGCATGCCAATATTTATTTTCCTGTTTTCCCAATAAAATATTTCAACAATGACCGTACAAAATGGTCTTAACGAACGCACCAAACAAATGACTCGCAACAAAGGAACAACACATTTGTTCTCTCACTCTTTTCGCACTGTTCTCAACACACGATCTCTCTCTCTCTCTCTCTCTCGTTTGCATTCTTCTCTTCTACTGCATTCGGTTTCTATGTGTGCAATGGACGAAATTTTTGCACACCAACCATATGAAAGGAAATGATAGAGACATTTCAACAATAATTTTTTTTTTTCGAAGGTCGTGTTTTTGTGCACCTTATTTTCTTTTCACTTGAGATAAGGCAGTTGATGGCGACATGATTCTTCGATGCACGTACGGTGCAGTTATTATGTTTTTGTGTTTTAAGCCTTCTCCTAAAACTTGTTGTCATAAGTGTTAGAACATCAAATCATAAATGAATTTTTGGGCAAAAATGAAACATTGGTCTCGTTGTTTCACTGAAGCGCTTCAATCTGTGTTCAAATTAAATTTATTTCGAAATGAGCCTTGTTTCATTCTTATTTATGAAATTATTCCAAATTTAGTGCCTTGCAGCTAAATGAAATCAGAAAAGAAAAACTAAAACGAATGACGAAAAATATCCGACGTTGAATGACACGAACGAACTCGGCATTGCATTATTCATGTCGCCGAGAATACCAATGTTGTTGCTTGAAGAGAAAGCAAGATGATAATCGTGTCCGTAGCTGACCTGAATGCGAACGATAGAGATGGCCAGTTTTTGTTGAAGGGTCTAATGATTTTCTGGAATTTTCAATTCGGATGGATGCCGTTGTCTGTCTTTGTCTAGCGCTCAACGATGCTGCTGCTGCTGCTTTTTACACCATAGCACCAGGCACACACACATCACATGAATACGGATGCAAGTGCGCAGCCAAAATGAAAAAAAAAAAAAAGCAAAACCATTTCAGGCAAAATGGCAGCCAATCGAAGGAAGATATGGTGTGAAAGCATAGAAAGTGAGAGAAGAAAGGCACACAAATGGAATTTGAAAATGAAGTATTCTTCTACATTTTTTTTCCGTCCATATGTACCATCAACATATTTCGGTTGTTTTCTTACGTATGGATTCGTTTGATTTTAATCTATTTCTATGTACATCAGATGTCTGACAAAACGTTTAAAAAAAAATTCCAAAGAGAAAAAACAAAATAATCAATTTCACATGAAATTTACAAAGAAGAAACAAAATAAAAAGTTTGAAAGTAAGAACAGTTTAGACACAAGAGCAAAAAGCCATAAATGCAATCAAATGCGATTGAATGGACGCAAGAATCGTGAACATAGTCAATAAGTTTATCATCCTATTCATACAGCAAATCTTGCGCATCAATCGACAAATCAGTGTCAAAATACATAATATGTCCTCGAACGAAACAAACAAAAAAGAAGGGGATGAAAAAAAAGAAAGGAACGATTCGCAAATTGACTAAACGGAAAATGATTATTAATCTCTATAGCTGAGAGTAAATCGTTTGGTTTTGTCATTTTTAGGCCAATATCAATTATACTCACTTCATTAATTGGTGATATTCCACTTTGCTGCATTGATTACATCGGTCGATTACACTTTTTGTTTCTCTTTCTCTATCTCCGTTTCCAAATCAAAATTGCACAAAACTTCCTCTAGCTTATCATACACTCTCACTACGAGTCAAAGCGAATTTTATCGCTTGCCGTCCTCTTCTCTTTTTTTTTTTGTCTGCAGTCAATTAATCAATTTTCCGTTCATCAAAAAGTTCGACACACTAGTAAATCCAATGAAAATATATACAACACAGGCGCTCACAGACACACACGAAAACTCACACTTTCTTCTTGTATTTGATATGGGTGAAAACTTTTTTTTTTTGCCGTTGTTGATTACTTCTTTGTGTGTTTTTGGTGTTTTCGGTTTCAGTTGATTGGGCAAAAACATGTAATTTAGTGGTGCTGTGTTGTGTTGTTGTTCCGTGATTAGATACCGATAAAATGCGATTTATTATTCTAACAATATGGCAATAATCTGGTATTTCTCTCTCTATTCGTCATCATCACTTCGAATCGAATGTCAGTCGGCGTGCAATTGTAATTCGATTCGACTTCGATTACATTTCCTGAGTCGTTGGTGTCGGTTTCACGGGTTTTGTGTGTTTGTGTGTATGTGCGTGTATGGGTGTATTTTCTTCTATTAATGCCTCTTAATATTGTCTCTTTTTCCATTCACTTAATCTCTTGATGATTTAATTAAATGCTATTTGATTCACACTTTTCGTTTGCTCAGCAATGTGTTTTTTTTTTTTGGCTTTTTGCTATTTCTCCGGTTGCGGTGGTGCGTTCTGCGAATCTTCTAGGCTGTGGATTATGAAATTTTGTTGATTCCCTGTAGTCAACAACCAGCAGGTAAAATGCGCCAAAAAATCGAATTTTTCGAACCAAAGTGCAAACCCACTAACCACTTTAAATGGTGCGATGTGTGTAACTGTCACTTGTTTGATTAAATCACAACGGAAAAAAAAAATTGCAGCACAAAATTTTGCTTAGAATTTGGTTGTTCGCACATTTACAATATCGGCTCGAAATGAAATTGGCAGCAGCTGAACTTTGTTGTGGCCTTCAGTCGTTTGCATGACGTTTCATCTACGTTGCGCCTGGTGCTTTTTTCCCTTTGCGTATTTTTGGATTTTCGGGGCTGACGAAGCAATTTCAAACCAAATTCACTAACTTCACTTCGGTGTATCACACAGTTTTGATGGCCATTTTTCACTCACTCATTAAAATGGTATATTTTGTTTTAGCTTTTCATCCACGTTTGTGTAAATGACCGAAATGGTTGTCGTGTTTAGCTTGTTTTTGATTGCGGTTTTATCGTTCACCGGGTGCCGTGTGTATGATGCACTTGTTATTTTATCGTGTATTCCACAAAAGAACCAACTTCCGATATTGTCTAATCAACACAACGGTCTGTTTTTTCAACCATCAAATATTACAAAACACCCTCGACATTTTTCACTGCCACTAAAACCGTGTGCTATTTTTTTTTTTTTTGCATTGAGTTTTGACAAATTTTCACTAAACGAACTTTTCGATTTTGTGTCCTTTGCACAAACGCGTTTGGTTTTTCGCCTTTTGTTTTTGCTCTGTGGTCTTGTATGATGTTGTAACTGTCCCGGTGTGAGCGAGCGTATCTAAAATTTCTGGTCAAATTTGCCCAAAACCATTATTCGTATACAGTTTTGATCGTTGTCGTTGCAATTATTGTTGGTGCTTTTTCTTCATCTTTTTATTGGGTAAATTAATCCACTTCGATTGTTTCCGATTAGATTTTGTGATCAATTCAAACGAATCTAGTTTTTTTTCCTTGTCTATGTACAAATTGCTAATACGCGACTATTTCCTGAGATTTCACCCTGTCGGAAGAGATAAAGAAAAAGATCAAATAAAATGGCATTATTAAATATGTTTCGTTGGTTGCATTCTCGGAAATAACAAATCGACACAGCATTAAATGCAACAACCGAAGAAAAAATAATATAAATAAAGAGAGAAGAAGAAGGAACGAGAGAAAGAGAGAGAGAGAGAGAGAGAGAGAGAGAGAGAGTCATAAAAGATTGAGAGATTCAACCAAAAATCAATCAATTTTAATGATGGGTTGTTTTGGCAAAACGAGACTGAAATACAAATCCTAAATGGGAAAACAAACACAAACGAGAGCGCGCGAACAGAAATACAAAACGGAAAAGAGAAAAAAAAGAAAAATTGAGCGCACGCAGAAACAAATGAAGAAATACAAATATGTAAATTGAAATTTATCACATAATGCATACAAGATGAAAAACGCGAATGAAAATCAACTCCACAAGAAATGAAACAAATGAGGAAAAATAAAGGAAACGAATAGTTATCTATTTATACGATGATCGATTGAAGTGAGGAGAGGCGCCCTCGCAAGAGAGAAAGGAAGAGAGAAGAAAATTGGTATGGACAAATGGTGGAATAGAGCGAGTGAAATGAAATTATTGAGGAAAAAATTACACGAAATACAAACACACACACACACAAAACAAGAAACAAAACAGAAAAATTAACAAACAACAAAATTATTACGATTGCCGAATGGCAGAACAGCGCAATGAACGAAAAGGAACGCGCACATCGACGAAGCCGTCGTCGTCGTCGTCGGCAAAATAAATTTTTACGTGATTAGGAAAGGAAATAAATCAGTATAGAATAAAGAATAAATATACGATCCAACCACACACATGTTCATACACACACGATCTCACGTTTACTCGACGAAAATGAGCGCGCTGATCTTACTTCTCGTGTCGACATTTGGCTGCGATTCTACATGTGCAGGTCCGAAGAGTCAGTCGAGAATTCTCAACAAGGCACACGATTGAACGAAAGTCAGTTGAAAAAAAAAAAAAAACAAATCCACACAACACAGTGAACAGACAACACACTAACAAAGAAAAAGGAAAACGACTGACGAGGAGAAGAGTCGTTGAAAAAGTGTGGAACAAAAATAAAAATCACCATTCACAGAACGTATGAACACCACAGAAACTGCACAAAAAATCTACAAAATAGAATAGAACAAAACGGATCACGGTGCGGTGCGGAGAGTGAGACGGAGGAACAGGAGAGTATATATGTGTGTATGTGCAGAGCGAGAGAATAGGAGCACACACACACACACACACACACACACATATCGGGTAATAAAACGCTGACAACGATCACACTAGATGAGAGCACACAACACATAGAGAGAGAAGGAAGAGACGAGAAAAAAAAATGAAAACAGACGAGAAAAGACAAACAATTTTTCGTGGCATGAGCTCTGTCGACTCGATCGCATGGTAAAAACAGAATCGACACGACACGAACGGAATTTGAATGAAAACGAATCGTTCGGTGAGCCGAGAGCCAAGTCAGTGCGCGCATCCAACCAACAAAGTCGCGAAAGTGAATGCAAAAAAAAAGAACAGCAACAACAACATCACTTGGAAATTATCTCGTTAAATTTTTTTCTCTTAATTTATTTCATCTCTTGATTGATTTCGATCAAAAGTTTGGGTCAGATGTGCATAGTAGTTTGATAGTTGACGTTTTTTTTTCTCGCGTGTGTGTGTGTGTGCGTGTGCCACATGCCTACTAACAAGAGTGATCGCCAAATGAGTGATCGCGCTCTGAATATGTGTACGAGAGAATATTGCGTTTAATGAGAATGGATAAAAACGATGACGCAGAAAATCCTTTCTGTTGCATGCGCACAACAGACAGCTCCGGTTTATGCACACGCATACAGATAACCGAGCGTGGTTGCGTGAAACGGCATGAAAACTTCCTTTTTTGCTTATGGGCGCACGGAAGCAACGCACTTTACTAAATACACATAGATTAAATGATCTTTTCTATTACTACCTGATATCGTTCGCGATATATATATTCATTCGTGTTGACTCTCGTTTGATGTCCGTAGACCACCGACTAAGCGCGCGGCTCAGCTTAGGAAAAGAGAGAGAGAGAGAGAAGAGAAATTATATATGCAAAAAGGCGCTGCCTCATTCAGCTGGTTTAATGCCACACTCGAAGTCGCTGTTGACCATGCGACAGAGCGTAGCGCATAGATCATTCACATCGCATTTCGCATATATCATTTCCGACATTTTCTTTTCGTTCATTTATTTAGTGACAACCACATGCCGATCCGTTTAGATGAAATTCTCACATCGATTCGAATCAATATCTCGTATCAAAACCCATTTTATAGATAAGAAAAATTTTCTCTTCTCGTTTTTTTTTCTCAATTTAGATTTCAAACTCAATCTTTCAATTTAAAAATTATTATTATGTTTTTGATGTGAAAACGGGCGCATTTTTAATGACAAGACGATTTCTCAATCAATAAAGCAAAAACGAGAAAAAAAAAAGAAAACAATCCGACTCATGATTGTCAAAGGTCACAAAATTTCAAATGAGACTTCTCCAACTGAAAGTAATCAAGACATACATGCAATAATAAAAGTAAATATTGGCTTGCATATTTAAGTGAGAGTTTTTCATGTCGAATGGGCAAATATCGTTGCAAACATGCTAAATGAAATAAACGCAAATATGTGTTGCTTTTGCATAAACAGACATACAGACACAGACACATGCATACGAATGCACGCAACTGAAAGCGCAAGCGACGAACGGTCGTCGCATTTCGATTTTTTTTTTGCATGTGATCGTTATACTTCTTCTGCTTTTTTCTTCTTCGAATGTGCGTATTCATAAATACGCAAAACTTCTCTGAATTAGCTGCATTCTTGTTGTCTTGTTTTAAGAAGATCGTTTTGTGTGTGACTCGGTGTGTCGGAAGAGTGAGCGAATGTGAAGGCACAGCGAGAGAGGGAGAGCGAACGAAAACAACTGAGATCCCGAATTCACATATATACGCAATGCGCATAACGAAACCAACGAACAACAACAATCAAAACGAGCGAATCGAGAGAGAGGAAGAGAGAGAACATACCAAATGAACAGCTTAACACACAACAAAAATTCCAATTCGTATGTAATTTATTTCTCGAATCATATCATGTTCGTGTCAATGGTCTATTTAGTATTATTTGGTCGTCGCCACTTATTTAAGACTGAATCGCTGTTTCGCTTGCTTTATTCCTGCTTCGCGTTCTGACACATAGTCAAAGTCCGTATAATAATTTTTTAAAAAATGATTGTTGTTGGCGTTATCATTCGCATCGTTCGTTTGCTCTTTTGTTCTCTCTCTCTCTCTCTCTCACTCTCTCTCTCTCTCTTTCTCTCTCTCTCTCTCTCTCTCTCTTTCTCTCTCACTCTCTCGTCATTCCTTCACTTGTTCTTTTTTCGTATGAATATTGATTCTTTGTTTCTGTTAGTGTGGTAAGAAAGGATGATTGATAATTGATTTGGCATAATGTGATAAGCAGCATTTCCATGCAAAATTGTGCAATCGATTGAAAGGTGGAAACTTTCGGTGAATGCAAATCGGTAATATTGTATAAAAAATCTGAAAATTATGCGTCGAAATCGAACGGTTTTTGATGTGGAAAAGAGATATTCATCGTTAGCACTTTTTTTGTTGTGTTAAAATCGATTGAATAGTGAAGATTTTCATCCCAACCAAAAACAACACCAAACGAAGTAACGATCACCTCTCCGGGAACAAGGAACAATAAAAGCAACAACAACAACAACAGCAAACAATAAACAATTGAGTACTTGAAAGTTCTCAACCAGCCAGAGATTTACATAATTCGATCAACGATGGGAAAGGTGCAATGCATCTTATTTTCTCTCTGTTGCATTCTCTGTGTCCGTTTCGTTTCCAGTTGGAAGATGCACTCCGTGAAAATGTATATAATTATCTGTTGTTGAATTTTTTTTCTTCTTATTTTCAAACCAGATTCTGATGCGTGTAAAGGAATAAATCACTTGTGAAGTTATTGTTAGACGTTATTCTGATGTACGTATAATCGATTTTTTTCTCTCTCTCTGTGTCTCATCGTTGTTCATGTATATATTCTTTTGGGTTAATTTTCGGTACATGGACGAGTAGAGTGCTTTTGTTTCTCACTTGAGATTTTTCTTCTTCTGTTATTTTTGTTGGTTTGTTCTTAAGGTCTTCATGGAATGTTCCTTGTTAATCGTATTATTTCACTCATTTGTTCAGTACGTGCTGTTATTTTCGGTCGTGGCTGAGGGCATCGAAGAGAGCAAGACGGGCGAGCAAGTTATTAGTTGATGACGAAAACAACACGTAACATTAGGTCGGGGCAAAAATGTGCTTGCTCGTCCAAGTGATTTTCGAAAATTGGGATGTGCTTGGTGTGATTATTATTGAAAAGTGCGGGCATCAAACATTACCAAGCAATAACAAACCGAATGGAAATCAAAATCGAAGAAGAAAGAAAAAAACAAACAATAAAAACGTCGATTCGATATTAATCAATGCACACGGAAAGTGCATTAAAAAAAGTGATGCATCAAAAGATGGTGTGCAATAAGAAACACTTGAATTGAAGAGATCGAAAGAGAAAAGAAGCAACAAATGCAATTGTAAGAAGAGAAAAAAAATAAAATAATGCATGCACAAATAAATGATTCCATCAGAGAAGAGGAGAGTGAGTGAGGATTCGAAACGGCAAAAGAATCGATCCCAAGATTTTCTGCAAAGACGCAATGATTCGTCGTGATTATGAAACTGGAATCTTGTTTCGTCTAGCGATTCTTCTGCCATTTTCACATTGATCGATGGACATCAGACGCATGGCAAATCGTGGATGATGAACATTGGGCGCACCACACGTCCCTCATCATCATCATCATCATCTTCATTGCAATGCACGTTGCACATCTATGTACATTTCGATTCAAC